GATAACCTCTCAAAAATATATGTATAATGTATTATTTAAGATTTCATACTATATATAAAAATATATTAATATGTTACTTTTAATGCATGAAGATTTTGTATTGAATTGGTCACGCACGCACGCATGCACGCACGCACGCACGCACAGTATATACATTTATTGAATTACAGTATTATATTACTATAATGAGCAGCTGTTCATTATTTGCTCATTAGGAAAAAAATATAATAAGTACAGAATAAACTAAAAAAATAAATAATAAAAATAATGCAATATTGTAATTAAATCAATTTAATTAACACAATTAAATGCATATGTAAGATTATTGGTGCTCTTTTAAATATTTCAATTATTTATTATTTCTCTATATATAATACCCCATATCTTGTATGATACTTTTTTTTTTACTCCTTTTTAATTGTACTAAGAACTAACTTTCTTAAATAACAGTTCTGCATTGTACTTGCTACCTCAATTCAAAGTTTCTTCATTAGGTCACATTTACATTATGCCTTAAATCAAAGAAACTGCCAGCAAAGACTTTCTGAAATGATTGTTCTGTGTGATTCTGGGTAGTTTTCTCACGGTTAACTCTCTCTCTCTCTCTCTCTCTCTCTCTCTCTCTCTCTCTCAGGTTGGTCATTAGGAGAACACGGCGAGTGGGCCAAATACAGCAACTTTGATGTGGCCACCCGAGTGCCATTGATCATGTACAAGCCAGGTGTGACCTCACCTTTCCCTCGGCCTGTGGAGAAGACGTTCCCCTTCATTGATGTGTTTCAGGGCACACGGGAGCAGTTTGGCAAAGGTAATGCTACTCAGAGCAGCCGTCAACACGCAAAGACCGCAGGATCCTTCACGAGATTCTGAGACTCCAACCGAAGTCACTCAAGCGTGTGATATCAACTTTGTGGAAAAGATGTTATTGCTAAAGTATCGGCCCATTTAGAGCTTTGATTCTTATTTTGCTTCAGTGTGAAGGTTTGACTGAGTGTGTACCGTGAGCACATGCATATGCTGATGGTTTTCTTTCTTTCAGCTCTCAAGTGCACATTTGTGGCAATCTTTAGAAAACACCCAGCATAAGCAGCCGGAGTAATGACTGTAATGATAATGCCACAGCATAGAGAAGCTAGTAAGTCCTGAGAGTTACTGCTCTCACAGTGGGCTCTGCATTGTTGCTCTAATGAACTGCACAATATTCAGTAACCGTATCAGTACATTTCATGGAAATGTCAGAACTGGGGCCTTTTACCTAAGAGAATAGTGGCTAAATTCAGTGTGAGGATTTCATGCTCGTTTGTTAGTATTTTATGGTGTGTGTTCGAGCAACACTTGGGTTCTATTTAAAATAAAAATATTAGTTTACTCCATACAGACTTGTTTTAGCACTAATAATGTATAAAGTTTCAAAAAGGACCTGCTATGAGCTCCTTGGATATCTAATGTGGCTTTTGTGAAAGTATATATACCATCTGACCACCGTTATTTCAGCTTCATTTTTATAATTGTGTTTTAATAGCACAATTTACCGTGATTCGCCAATCAGAAGAGTCACTCTCACCATAGACCCGGGAAACATGGAAAAAATAAGTGCTCTTCTTTTGAACATTGTTTATCAAAAAATTAAGAATTTTTTTTTTCACAAAAATATTAAGCAACACAACAATTTTCAGCATATATAATATAAATGTTTCTTGAGCAGCAAACCGGCATATTAGAATGATTTCTGAAGGATCATGTGACACTGAAGACTGGAGTAATGGTGCTGAAAATTAAAAATATATTATAATAGAAAACAGATTTTTGAAATTGTAATAATATTCAATATTAATTTTTATCACATGTTATGTGATAAATAAATGAACATAAGAGACTTCTTAAAAAACAAATCTTATCTGAAATCTCTACAAATATAAATGCTAATAAGCATAAAATTATACATCAAAATTAAGACATTGATTTCATGTGCATGGTTTTATGTTGTATTCTAGATTCAGATTTAACTGCATCAGTGCTTTATGGGACAGGTAGTTCATTCCCTCATAAAAGAAGTTTGGTACACAGATTTGTATACTCTAAAATCTTTATTGAAGATTGTTTTCAAATGCCTATGGTGAAAATGAATGAGGAAAAAAGGCTGCTGTGTGGGTGGTCACTGTAGAATAGCAAGTTTTTGGGAAAAAAAAAGCAAAAGCTCTGTTTACACCAAGTGTGATGCAGTTAAACAACATAAGTGTAAAATGTTTGGAAAAAGTATGGTACAGAAACCATTCACGTTAAATATTATGCTAAACATTGCAGCTTTAGATGCATTATTGGTTCTCGAATGCTTCTGCATCTCAGTTTTCCATCTTTCAGGTCGAGGAGTTGAGAGGGTGGTGGAGCTGGTGGATGTCTTCCCCACGCTGTCGCACCTGGCTGGGTTGAGTCCTCTGCGCCACTGCCCATCCTCATCCTTTAAGATCGAGCTCTGCACCGAAGGCTCAAACCTGGCCAATCTTATCCGCAACCCAGAGAGAGAGCTCAACAGAGAAGCCTACTCATTCAGCCAGTACCCTCGACCCTCCGACTCCATCCAGGAGAACTCGGACCTGCCCGACCTCGCCGACATCCGCATCATGGGCTACTCCATTCGCTCCACTGACTACCGCTACACCTTATGGGTGGGCTTTGACCACGTCCGCTGTCAGCCTAACATGACGGACATTCACGCGGGAGAAATGTACCTCCTGGCTGAAGATCCGGGAGAGGACAATAATGTGTTTGATGAATTCGACCACACTACAGTATTGCGTAAGCTCGGCATGCTGCCGTCATGGACAGAGAGTTTAAAGCATCATGTAATGTATCTCAGCAGCGGGTTAAAATCAAAAGGGATTCTGTGATTCCAATTTGTCATGATATGACAGTAAAGAGAACATGAATGAATGTTACAAAACCAAAAAAACATGTCTGGTCATACTTCATCAAAAACTGACAGGAAGAATTAAAAAGTTACATTTTGCTTAAAGCCTATTTTAGGATTTTTTTTTTTTTTTGGCATTCCTGACATATTGTCATTATAACTACCTCACAATTCTCATAATCAAAATCCTAATAATCTTGCATTCTCATTACTGTAATGTGAAAATATGATTTATTATAATACCTTTAATCTAAATTCAATAACGTATTATAGTATTTTGCACTAAAATGCATAAGAATTTTATAGTATCAAAATTCTTATTAAAATGGAGTAAACATTAAGTTAATATGTTTGTCTTTTTAAAATCAGAATATATTATTGGACAGTGTAGCAAATTTATTTGGATTTGAATAAATCACAGGTTTACTACATTACAGTAATGAGAATAATAATTGTAAAAATTCAAAAGTAAAAGAAGAGTTTGGAGTTAAGAGTTTGGGTTAAAATGTCATGATTCCACAAGGCAAAAATAGTAAAGGTTTTCATTAAAAAAAAATTATAATAATACAAATTATATATATATTTTTTTTTTCTCTTCTGAATTTTGGTTGAAATGTGGCCAGGACATATTTTTGTGAGGTTCAGTTAAATATTGATATATTTTGAGCAATATTACATAATTCAAAAAGACAGATATCACCTGTTTTGCACTAGCAGTTATTTGTCCTATTTTAATCATAACGATTCCTTTCACTCCTCATTCTCAAATTATTGCTGCAAAAGATTTTTGGTTGATTTATTTAATAATGAATCATGTACCTCATAATGCTCTAATGAAATAAACTTGCACAGCACTTTTCTTAAAACAATAAAAGGGATATTTTCACATACTGTAGCACTTTTATTGAGTATATTTGAGGTAGTATCCTAAAAAATATGAGTCCATTGCCTTAATTTCCTCATTCCCTTCAGAATGTGATGCATGGAAATGACGTAACGTCAACTTAAGTGAGAAACAAGTTTAATTTAAGTCTCCGAGAAATAGAAAGCTCTGCTCATACAACACTCTGCTTTAGCAATTTATCAGGTCACTAAGTCGTAATTGTATTTTGTCTTAGAGGCCGACAGAGACTCTGCCAGCGCTAAGCTTTTGTTTTCCCAGGCAGTGTGATGAAAATCAACTTAAATATAGAATTTCAAGTCATGTGCTCCCACTGCACCGTTGCCAAGGTAATTAGATGCTTAAATGTGAAAACTTGCAAATGATGTTGCCCGGATACACCTCAGAGAATAGTTTAACACTGAGGAATGTTTTAGCCAACATTAAAAAAGGGGAAGCGACTGCTGCAGCATCTTCCGCTGCTTGTGCGCTGTGACGTCAGGCTGTGTTTGTTCCCCAGACTCATTTCATGCCACGGGTCTGCATTTTAAAAACTCCTACCTGCTTTCTCTTTTCAGGTTTATTTTGGATTCGCCGCACTCTTTCGCGTTGGATGCCACATTGTTGACTCCTGCAGAGTATGAATTATTTTTGAAGGAATATATTCAATATTTATGTGGCAACATAAATATATTTTCTCGCTTTCTCTCAAAAGGAAAAACAACAAAACAAAGCAAGCGAATCATTTGTGTGTCTCTGTGTGTGTGTCCCTTTTCAAGTGTGTTCTTATAAGAGTGCAGCAGGACTGTTATAGTGAGGGGATCCTTTGGGACCGCCAATATATTCAGCTTCAGCACACAGGCTTCATTGCCAGCTGGTCCGGAAAATTCCACTGCTGTCTCTCTTTTTTTCTTGTCGACTAAAAGCAAGGTCAGGGCAGTCGTAGAAGGATCCACAGGCTGATTGAAGCTGATATTTTAATTGCTTATACTAAAGTAGCTTTGCTTTTGTCTACCAGCTGATTGTGTTGCTTGCATAGTCTTTACCTAATTAAAACAAGAAATGTTACTCTTAAAGGGGCTACATGTAAGAATTTCCATGTATTCATCATTTTTTATTGCCAACATACAGCTTGTAATGAAATGTAAAAAAACAAGACTTTTACTGACTGCTTGTCTATGAAATCCTGCAGACTGATTTTTCTGTGAAGGACTCGGACGTTTCATGAAATACATGAGTATACAATGTTCAAATTAATGCCGAAAGAGCCATTCTGTAATGCTACATCAAAGAAAAGGGATTCATTGAAACTGTAGTCTCATACAGCCAGATCTATATTGTCTATATGAGCAATATCACACGAGTAGCCGTGAGATATGGCTGTATATCAGCATGGCTGTGATTCAGCTGTAGGTAATCACAGTGTGCCGATATACAGCCATATTGCACGGCTACGAGTGGGATACTGCTTTTATACAACAGTTCGACGGCACGAGTGTGTTAATACATAAGAAACAACAACGGAGTGTCTTTAAAAACCCTTTTTTGTGCAGAACTACTTTCTTCCACCACTGATTCAATCTCAGTTTGACAGTTTAACAAAGCCTCTGTTACTAATTCGAAAACGTCACTTTAGAGCTAGTAATGAAGGAACGTTTAGTTGCTTCATTGAAATCTACTGTATTAAAAGATCACTGTATTATGTAGAGTCAAGTTTTATGAGATGGACTGAGCAAGTGTGATTACCTGCATCTGATACGTACAGCATTCATTCTTCAGTCAGTCTCATATTCACAATAAAATATTAGTTTAAATGTCACTTGAGGAAGATAGACTCTTGCATTTGTTGGCTGCGTTTTACAAGTTGTTGTTGAAAGTAAAAATAACTTCCTCGTCTCTTTCAATATAAAAGTCTTTACTGCTGGCTCACTCATAAAACAGTCTCTTGTCGCAATCTAATGGTGGAACAATGTAACTAATCACCACCAGTTCAATGTAACTGAACACACACACTTTTCCCAATAATAAATAACAATGCGGGTTCGTGAGCGCTGACGCCCTGAAGCTCACATTTCCGAAAAACATTGAAGCAAATTTTCAAATCGTCTTTACAGAGTGCGAATGTGAGTAATTATGCCTGGTGATAATGGTTGAGTGTTTGATGGTGGATTTTCTTGTTTAAATTGTTGCGATTTGTTTCTAAATTTACAGTGGTTAAAGTTGTGGAAAAGACCAACCAAAAACAATACCTGGCCAACTAATGAAAAAACAAAACAAAAAAAACAACTGAATGAACAAGAACAAAACCTACAGTGCATTGTTCCCTTTGGGTCCTGTAGTAATTCCTGGTCATCACATTTAGAAAAAAAAAAAGTAAATTGTCGCACATATGTTGCATTATTATTATTATTATGTTTAAATGTAAAAAATATATTTTTAATCTGTTCTTTTGGTTAGTACATTTTTATATTATATTACTCTAAATTTACAGTGGTTAAAGTTGTGGAAAAGACCAACCAAAAACAATACCTGGCCAACTAATGAAAAAACAAAACAAAAAAAAACAACTGAATGAACAAGAACAAAACCTACAGTGCATTGTTCCCTTTGGGTCCTGTAGTAATTCCTGGTCATCACATTTAGAAAAAAAAAAAAAGAAGTAAATTGTCGCACATATGTTGCATTATTATTATTATTATTATGTTTAAATGTAAAAAATATATTTTTAATCTGTTCTTTTGGTTAGTACATTTTTATATTATATTAAATTATATTACATTATTTTTTTCTATACAATGATTTGTATAGAACATTTTTAGGTGCACTTTAGTACCCCATAATCACAAGTTCTGCTGTTTGCTGTTAAAACGATAGTAATCAATTGATTAATTCAAAATAAAAATGTAAATTCTATTCTATTCTATTCTACATATTTTTGCATTTGTATCAGCAGATTGAAATAATTATTTCTTAAGTGGCACTCTTAGTACCTCACAATCACAAGTCCTGCTGTAGTACCTGTTGTTTTACAAGTAACACGAGTGATGCCAGTTTAATGACGTTAAAGCTCCCACCATGACCTCTGGAAACAACCAGACTTGTTGTTGGAAATCCATCCCTAACCGCATGGTCCGGGATGAAAAGTAACAATGCCATGCTTGCTGTAGCTCTGACATGGGAGCAATAAAAGACAGCTGGACTGTATTATGAAACAATCTGTGACCTATTACTTTTGCAATTAGATTTGTGCATATGAGCACTTTTGTAATGAACTTGGAGATTCTTTAGAGGACTGTTTCCAGAGATCTGATGGTCTGACAAGGCTCACAAACAGCCAGCAAAACAAACTGATTTACTAGAACCTCAGAATCAGAGCACCTCATTTGCTTACTTGGAACTGTGTAATGATGTTTATCAGCTCAGGGTCAGAGGGGACAGACTGAACTGAATTAATCCCACCAAAGATAAAAAATGAGAACATAGTTAACAGTTATAATATAACTCATCATTAGTGGTGTTTGCAGAAATAACAATTACTCTTGCTCACACTGGGGTTAAAGATTGAAACAAACCATTAAGCACATATTTAAATTCGATGCATGACACATCATAATGCTTCAGATCATGCGACTTGTTGAAAAGAGGTGTGCTGTTACATTTCTACACTATAAATTAATTAAATAATATTAATAATAATAATAATAATAATTAAAACATAATAACAATTATTATAAATTATATTAACATAAATGATATTAAATATATAATGTATTTATTTATTATAATTGTATTAATATACAGTGGGTACGGAAAGTATTCAGACCCCCTTAAATTTTTCACTCTTTGTTATATTGCAGCCATTTGCTAAAATCATTTAAGTTCATTTTTTTCCTCATTAATGTACACACAGCA